ACTTAGTAGCCCTAATGATTAGACTTTCTGTTGGCATTCAAAGACCTTGCGTATATAGAACTTGAACGTATATTAGCTAATTGGGGTGGGCTACATCTGTTGTGGCTTCTTGCAATCAAGTCGGCGACCCGAAGGATCCTCGGAAAGATAAAGTGCAGGAATGGATAGACTGCGAACGTGTTGGAAAAAGCGAGCACCACAGGACTCGAACCTGTAACCTTTTGGTAGTCTCACGAAGGCATCGAAGCCAAACACGCTAGCCATTGCGCCAGGCACCCATGACGGAATGCAAAGTAAAGATATTATATTCGTCGACCCAGCCACTGCATTCTTCTGGCATCTCATTCATCCTTTTTTGTGAACACTCCAGACGCAGTTCTGAGAAGGACAATTCCCCTGAGGCTGATCATGATATACCCTGACAACCTTTTTGCATTGAGCACAGAAATTTCCAGGACATGCGATCGGTCTCGCACTTGCGATTTGAGACCATCAACATCTTCTCCACCGCAGAGGAACAGCTCCGAAGGCGATCTAAGGCGATACAAGAAATGCGCACTCCGCGGCATCTGAAGCGAGGACCAACTGCGCGGCTGATGGCCGACAGGTATAGCCGACGCTTCTCGCCATGTTTTCTGATTTGCATCCGTTCGCTTACAGTGGGAACCTCGGCCTACGTGTTGGTAACTCACCACAACCTCTCCGCTCTCCTATTCCTTGCGCCTTAAAAGCTGCAGGTGCCCACCTGCCATGCTCCCTATGCCGCTCCCGCTTCTCAGCAGCCCGCGACTGCCCCGTCGTCACTCCGTTTCGAGCGTTAGCAGCTTGCCTGGCAGCGAGTCCTCCAATGCCTCCGGAAGCCATTCCAAGTCATGGTTCAGTCGCAAGAAGAAGGAGAAGACAAAAGCGCAGGATTCGTCCTCCGTGGCCAGCGGGGACTCGAGCAGTAACGCGCAAGACGGAGGAGGAGGGGATGCCGCCCACGTGGTGGATGGGATCCTGGATACATTGGGCCCTAGGGGACGGTCGCTAGACCAGCAGCTTCATCGGCCCCATCCTCTGGCGCAATCCTCACACCCACCCCGCTTCCGGCCGAGCGCCAGCACAGACGCTGTCCCCTCCCTGCCCCGCGGCTCCGCTTCGACGACATCCCTGACGTCCGCACCCGCCACCGCGCCATCGACGCCGACGCGCGCCCCCCACTACCGCAAAGCCCGCTCGTCGACCTGGACGCAGCCGCCGCCGCCGCCGCCCCACCGCGGAGCGAATCTGCACGTGCTGATTCCCGACACCCCATCGGCCCCGTCGGCGCCGCGTCCCACGCACGATCAGTCACGCCGGGCCGCCGACCCGTCGCCTGCGAGCCCGCGGCACCGCACGCCCGCGAGCGCCGTTGCCGATTGGGCGCGAGGCGTGAGCATGGAGGGCCGCTCTGGGGACAAGCGCTCGCGCAGTCCGCTGTCCCCTCGCTCTCCGCCGCCGGCGCTGCCGCTGCGCCTCGAGCTCGACGCGGAATCTCCCGTGTCGCCGACACCGCGGTCGTTCGGCGGGGCGATGAGGAGGAAGGAGGGCAGCAGTGACACGGAGTACGAGCGGGGGGGTATGACGTCACCACAGGCGAGGTCTCGGCCTGGGTCACGCCCGAAAACCCCTGATGGTCCCGGCTTTTATTCTGGTCGACAGGAGGTGAATTGGACTGGGGAATGGCGCATCGAAGGCTCAGGGAAGAAGGGGATGCAAGATGTGATGAAGGGACTCAGGCATTTGAAGAAGAAATGAGACCAACTGAGTGGTAATACTTTTGCGATAACCCCCGGATATAGAGTATAATGTACACTGATCAGATTTCATTCGTAGTCGACATTATACATACTTACAGGCACCTACTTACACTCGTTATGGATCATTAGAGACGTTTAATCAATCGACTTGCGAAAGCCGACAATAAGTGTGGTTATTGAATCGTGCTGCCATAGTCCACTACCACGCGCCGGATGCTTCGTATTGAAGGCGCAGGCGAAGGCCTGTATCTCGGTGTGATTGCCCCAGAGCCGATGAATACTTCGAGTGCCGAATCCTCGGTGGGGCGAATGGTCTCAGCAGAGCTGAACGACTCGAATCGCGTTCGATTTGACGTGCGTTCGACGATACTGATCCACGGTCAGGACTGGCAATATCACAAAATGAATAGAAAACAAACCCGCGCATCACAGCAGCTGTGGTCAATCGATCAGCATATTTTTTCGACACGTTGTCTTGGTACAGATCCGTTTCGTCGACTATCTCTTCGGATAGGATCTCTTCAATGATGTCTGGAGCGCGATCGGTATGAGATGCCCACTGCATTGAATAGGAAATGACTTACCCTCGAGCGTCAGGACACCGATGGCACCTCCAGGTTTCCCGGGAGTGAGGCTGATGAGGAGCAGATGCGCGCGGCCCGTTTGGCTGCCGGCGATGATTAGGAAACGCTTTTACCATTCAAACTGTGCTCACAAGTAATCCAGGGCTTGGAAGCAGCTGATGGTCGGGTGGGCTTCGGGAAGCACGGAGAGCGGAATTCTAGACACCGGCCAGCCAAGATTTGTGTCGTACTGCAAGAGCTGCTGTGGATCAGTTCGAGTCTCCCATGATCAGTGCTGTCTGCGCACCCTCTTAATCAAGAGGAATCCCACGAACGCCGTCCGATCGTGGGGCTCGTGGACGGGGATGCGGGAATATCCGCTCATCAGGCTACTCGGGATTAGTCCCCGACGACAGGACGCTGAGAATCGGCACGCACATCTTCTCGACCATCTGGTGATCCAGCACGGCGTCAGCAGATAGCGAGACGACGTCTTGGATGGGCGTCATAAGCTGCTCGACGCGTTTCGTGCCCAACTCCAACACTCCATTGAGGATGCTGATCTCGTCATCCATAAGTGGCTCCTCGCCAGTTCGATGGAACTGAGCTTGAGTCAGTTGCTGATCACTGGACACGAGAGCCGCCGACAAACCTGCAGGAAACTGCGCAGTTCAGTTTTGTTGTACGTGTGGGTGCCCTCCACCCCGAGCAGCGCATCGAGCAGTCGGGCGATCGGCCAAGCGATCGGAGCAAAGAGGTACATCATCCCAAGAACAAGTGGCGCGCAGGCCGCACCGATGGAGAGGCCATAGCGGACAGACAAGGCTTGGGGAATGATTCTAAGTGTTGTGTCAGTATTCGCCAAGGAAAGCTGTATTAGAGCGGTGGCTCGGCATTGGAGCCAATGTCCAAGGGATCCGCTCCGTGACGTCATGGAAGGAAGGAACACTCACTCTCTAAATGAAGGTCAACCATGGTTGAATGCTCTAGATTCGCAACTTACCCAAATATGACTAAGTAGCGGAAGTCTTAGCAGAGGCGGAAGACGTGTGATCTTAACTCACCAATCAGTGTTGTCGAAATCACCACCGCGGCCAATCCGCCACCGATCTACGAAGGTTGAGTTTAAGCTGCAGAGCCAGAAAAAGAGCTGACCGCGCTATCCAAGAAGATTGGCAGCGACTCGTTTATAATCTGCAATCCCAGTCAGCTCCCGCCAAGAAGAGCGATGTCTTAGTAGTGCTCACGACATTCGCCAAGAGGAGGACGACTAAAACCCAATGTCGCCCTCGCTTGAGCAGAGCCAAGACTGCCAGCTCATATAAATCGTTTGAACGTCAGCAGATACATAACACGCACCATCCGCAGCGTTCTTACGCTCTCTCGCATCGCGACTGGACGCGGCCAGAACGTGAAGGTGTAGCTCGTCGAGACCCATCAGTGCGATCGTCAAACTGCACCACGTCGTCGTCAGCCAGTCTGCCAGTCTCTGTCAGAGCGAACGAATGCTTACCCAGCAAAGACCCCACCGAGGAGGACCAGCGCGCCGCTGATGGACATCTTCTGCCAGAACACCGCCGACCAGAGCTCGGGGTGCGCGACGTGGGATGTGGTAGCGGCCGAAAATGCGATGGGTGACGCGCGCGCAGTTGCATAGCGCAGCAGGACGAAGACGAGTGCGGGGTGGCGCATGGTCGGTGGGCAGGGGACGGGGGCGGAACACACATCCACCTGGTTTATATAAACAGAGGAATGTCTTGGCTCCTGTAAATAGCGCAGCTGTAAGACCGTCAGCCGAATCACAAGAAACATCTAGCCCAAGGGTGAAGCACCCAGTAAACTCCACCCAGCCAACTGTCCAGGCCCGAGGAGTCTTGGCGCTTACATGCATGTGCTGTGATACGAGCCGAGAAGGACGAAGCTAGCTAGGACGTACAAGAGTCGGTTTCCGACGTCGAGGAACGGCAGGCTGAGCGGATGCCTCTCACGATAAGCGGCGAAATCAGCGCAGGTCATCGACGGCGAGTTTCATTTGATGAGAACAAGGTAACACACCCACAAACCAATGGCGAAACTCTCCGTCCGTATGTTGTCGATCAAGAACCGGAAGATGGGCGGGCGAATCGACGTTTCGTGGAGACCCGAGTAGCAAAAACACCGCGAATCCGGAAGGGGTTGCAGGCGAGAGATAAGGAATTAGATGACCGGCTGACACCGGCTACTGCTGGGAGCATGGTAGAAGTGCTAAAATATACGCCTTTGAGCAGAAACTAATATAAACTTCTCGAAGACCACATGGATGGGGTGGCAGTGGGAGAGAATCAAGCATCAAATGATCAGCCGATGATGCCATTGATCGATTGCCTGATCCGTGATTGGCATGTGTGACGAGTGATCGACCACAGTGCAGAGGCGATCTCATCGGAGTTCGGACCGAGGACAATTACACTTTGAAAGCCATCGATGACCCTCGAGTCCCACCGGAGCTCCTCAAACTCGACCGCTCATGCCATTTCTCAGCGTCAGGCATTGTTCGCTTTAGGCCCAAGCGACACAAAAACTGGCTTGAGGCTTTCAAGGGCTCTAACGTAACAACAATGAGAGGGTCTTGGGCAGAGTCAAAGCGCGCAACTGGTGGAACATATAAGATGGGAGGCAGAGAAAGAGTTCCGCACGCGTAACCTCTCTCATATTATGTCCTGGACCTCGCTCACAGCTCCCATGCAAGCAAACACCTCATTGAGCCACCGCGGCATCGAAACTGAACAATATGCTCGGCTCCCATTTGACTCCAAGGTGCGTTTGCCGTTTGGTAACTGTAGCCGCGATCGACCCCACTCATTGGGCCATTTTTTCAGGAGCGGATGCAGCTGATGGATGCTTGTGGCTGGGGCCACGCGCTGTTTGTTGACCGGTTCTCTCTGTGGGCGGTGAGCTGTCTTTTTTTTTCAACTTTAGCCATCCCGCTCATTTTAGATGCGAAGGCACCAGCATCAGACGCCCTGGAACCAAAACTTGGCCATGACGCGCTGCGTTATTCATCGGCAGCTCGGCGCAGTGCGACTTCGTACGCCTCGGTCGTCAATCACGGCTCCCAGTCTCTTCAGCATCAATCTATCGAGACTAGACAAAATTTCTTGGCGTGTCGGTCCGAACGTTTGTTGTGTCACTCGCTTCCGAGTGGCCCTCAAATCCGCACATCGACCGCGTCATCGGACTCGGACTCGGACGCGCACACAGCCATTGGCTAGAATATCGATTTCGACTCGGATGCGAGCTCGCGTCAGGATCAGGGAGAGGCGGATTTAGACCTTGATGTGTGAATGAAGCCCGTGAATGGCCACGTGGTTGACAGCTTATTGTGCTTGACCAAATGTATATCATGGATCTCAATCTGAGGCGCATCAATCAAACCCATCATCAGTTGACGCGCCTGATACGCATCATTGATTTCACTGGCTAAAAAGAGTGGGACTTGCCGGGACTGAGAACCCCGTGTCTGGCCCAAGATAAGCGCGATATTTCTCTGAGATTAGTAATTTGAACATTGAAATTGAACTGGCACGTTTCCTTGTCGCAGTTTTTGCGCCAGGGCCCCAGACTCTATGACACGCCGCGCTCGGCGGAACAGACCACAGGGACCGATACCCCCCAAATTTTCCGCTTCCTTCTTGCCAAGAAGAAACTGGCGGTACTCCCTAGGTATAGCACAGTGATTCACATATCGGGATAATACTCTATCGTTGACAGCGAGCGGGCAGCTCAATTCCGTGGCGCAGGTCATTCGAACGCTGATGGAGGACTGGGGGAAGTCAAGATGGCAGCTCGAGCCTCGAAGCTCTCATCAACACCGAGTGTCTCCGCCATAGATTCTGGCGCACAGAGATTGTACACTGGAATATCAGTGGCTAAGTGCGTACTCCGTCAGTATCGGTGCGCAGAGGACAGGCTGGGTGGCGGGGATGAATTTCGCGCCCGGATTCCTGTTGATCCACAAGCCCACATGGTCCTTCCGGCCTGAGTAGAAATCTCTTAGCATCCCTATAAATAAGAGGCTATGGGGTTGTTACTGGGGATAAACCGTCAGTGGCTACCACAAGATGCGCTTTGCAACCTCCTTCCAGCTCATTGCTCTTGTCGGCGCCTTTGTCTCCGCCTCCCCCGTGGAGAAAGACTGCAAGTACGCTGTTGGCTGGAACGGAAGCGTCCTCGACTCTGCGGCCATCGGGACTCCCCTCGAAAACGTCGAGCGCTCGTCGCTCCAGGTAAATCGGATTGTAACTTGGTTTTGGGGGGTCAAACACTCATCACCGGGCATCTGCAGGCTCGCACTCCGGGAGGCGTCTACATCTGCACCGATATCAACTGGGGTGGGCAGTGCGGCTACGCCGTGCAGCAACTCGGCGCGTGCATCGCGCTCACGGCGCCGTGGTACAACACCATCTCGAGCTTTGGACCCGATGCCGGCGCCACTTGCTTCGGTATGCATCTCAGTTTCTTCTTGTCTGCTAGGGCGAGATAGTAATCAAGAGGCCTTAGCGTATAGCCAGAACAGCTGCAGCGAGGCCCAGTGGACCTTCAGAAGCCCTGGAGACGCGACTGGTGGACTGGGGACCAGTAGCCCTTGGAACGATCGGGTGAGCTTGGATCGTAGCTGACGGTCCTGATGGAAATGCTGACATAACTTGAGATCACCAACTTCAAGTGTGTGTAGATATATACAATGTATAAGCTTTAAAGTAACAAGCTCTCGGGAAAGAAATGTAATCAGATATCACTGTCTCATCTACGCAATCACCATCGATCGGCAATCGCGGTCATGTCAAAATGTGCAGGTAATGCGGCGCGAACGCTCTTGGCAAGTCATATATGGGACCGTTCTGAAAGAGTGTAGTCTGAGAAGAACTCATAATTCTACTTTGGTTTCACAGTCCAATGACAGAACCAATCGATCGATCCCACCGAGTATTGAACAGCCATCACAAATTGTAAACACATCACATGAGCAGTTCAGAGTCACTACCCCGCGTGATCAGTTGAACCACGAATCAGGTGATCTTGGTTTTAAAATTACAACGCGACATAAACTGCTTTGGCTACGGACAAGAAACTCGTGGGTTGCAGAAAAAAGACGTTTGATCTAGGTAGCCGAGAGAGGCTGCTGGGACATGGTCTGGTCAAACAGTTGGAAGGCTGCTTGACCCACGGCCAGAGATCCGTTCTGAAAATCGCATCAAAAATGATCAAATCAACATGGGATGAGATCGATGACTACCTTGTACGCCGGAACCTCGTGTCCGGCACCGTAGATCCGCACATAGGAGCTGCCACGGGCACATATGAGTGAAGTCCTTGGAGTGATTAGAGATAATGGCATTTACAATGTTCCAGCGGTTTTGAATTGGCCGGCTAGCAACCCTTTGACGGTGAATGGCTTGAATGCTTGAGCATTGATCTGTGCGCTGAACTGGTTGTTCATCGACGCGATCTGGACAACTTTGAGCACCAAAATCGAGTACTGGCACTGCGGCAATGAATCACGCACCATGTTCTCAATGCCATTAAAGTTGAGGATATAGTCCTGGGAGATTCATTAGCCTGATAATAAGGTGCTTGGAAAACCCCATGAAGCTCACGGCATCTCCTCCGTATATCGTGACCCTGACCCCAGCGTTGATCACTGTCTCCAAGTTGGGCAGTGAGCTGCGCATCCAGTCCCCGGTGGCAGCGAAATTGTTGTACACGTTGTTGTTGGTCTCCGCCCAGGTCACCTCAGCGCCGACTTTGGTGCGGACTGAGGCTAGGAAGGAAGAGATGTCGGGTGGGTACGGGTCGTTGGAGCCGGATAGGATGTAATACACCTACGGATCATATCATTAGCATCGAGAGAGACAGACGTGTAACCAGCAACACGCACGTCGAAGTTTCCGACGAGCGGGGACAGGATGTTGTTATTGCACGTGCTCTGAGCCGCAGAACACACCGCATTTGAGCCACCAGCGTTGCAAGCCGTGATCTGACTGTTCATGAGAGTGGAGAGGAAGTCTCAATGGAAAGACTGACTCGGGCTTTACACCCTGTGGTCGCCGTGTTATACTCCTTCGTTGCTGCTGAGATCGTGGTGGCAGAGACAAGTGGGTGATACGGGTTGGACGCCGCGTAGGTCAGGTACCCCGGATATTGAGTGATCGGATCCTAGTGGGACAGCGTTAGAGTCGGCAAGCCAGTCTGCAAGAAGTCAAAGACCGTCAAGCCGTCGCCGATACCCAATGTCTTGAGGTTCAGGGTCAGTCCCTTAACGGTTCCGGCGGCGATCGCCTTATTCTGCTGCAAGAAGTAGGCGGCAAACGTCGGACCGTAGTGCCCGCCGTAGCTGCCCATTCGCATGAGACATCATCGACAACGCTCGAAACAGAAACGGCTCACGACTCGGTCCAGATGGCCAAATCGTGCGTGGCAAGCGACGCAAATCGCGGGTCCTTGAAGAAGATCTGCAGGAAGGACCACACGTCTTGAGCTGCTGCCTGACTGGTGCCGACGCTGGTCGTTCCGTGCGAGAAGCCGACGCCCACAGGTTGGTCGATGAAGAGCAGATTCGATTTCGTGTTCCACGAGAACGGATTCAGCGTGACGGAGGCTGAATTGTTGGTGATTCGACACGGGCCGTTTTCCTGGAGCAATCCGATCATCGAAGAGCTTCCGGGCTGAGAGGTATACTATTAGGGCAGAGACTCGTCAAAAACGACAGAGTGGTGTACGTACCCCACCGTTGAACCACAGCGTGAGAGGTGCAGACGCATTGGGGCTGCGCGACGAAAAGTACCAGAAGCTGCGTCCGCGGTCAGAATGGTGTCACACTGCGAAAGAAAAGGCTGGCGCACAAAATACTCTCGGTAGCTGACAGATCGCCATATCCGGAGGCCTGGTAAACGCCAGGAGTCGTCTCTATCGTAAATCGATGAGCTTCTCTGTCGTGGCGCCCATTTATAACCCACCGCACACCCCAGAGTTTTCCACGACACGGAGCGCACCGGGGGTCACCAGCGGGGAAAGATTCTCATTGAGCTCGAGGGGTCGGTCGGCCTCTAGCGCAGGAGTTTTGCCGACCCCGCCAATCACACCGTCCCTGATTGGTATCTGGCCTGAGGACTTCGCGGCGAGGGCATAGCTGAATAGTAAAATGCTGGGAAGGAGTTGGGCTAGGCTGACGAGACGCATGTTCCTAGAGCCACACAGCGCACTCACCCATTTGAAGTCCGCTCTTTAAAGGACTTATCGCTCGGATCCCGATTCGTCTCGGGTCCGCAAGAGGGCCTTATCTGTGCGCACCGTGTGCAAACACCTCCAGAAATACCATCAGTTGTCGTGTTTGGAATTTTTTTCTCTCTCCGCATGCTTCTATCATTGACGGGAAAGGTTGAGTAGCGGGGAAACCGTGGAGGAGGGAAGATAAAGAGGTATCCCACACTGAGAGTGGGGCATGTGAGACGCGACACACAAGACTGAGTTCGAGGCAGAGACTGGAAGCACGCGTACAGTTTCCGTATAGCTCTGTAGGAAGTGCTATTTTCTCAGCCATGCGCGTGATCGACATCTATACTTGTTTCTTGATTTGATTGTTTTTTTGTTACCTTGAATTACCCAGCAAGCTTGCGAGTGAAAATCGAAAGAAAGAGCATAGCCACCAAGCCTCTGATGGAATCTTCGTGACTGTGACTTGGGTACATCTTCATACGACTCGAAGTCTCTGAATTTGTCGCACTGCAGTGTACATTCCATTCTCGCCTACTTCAATACGACTCTTTCCGAACACGACGGCGGAGAGCGAGGGAAGCACGCCAAGATGAAGGCATCGACGGCCATTGAAATCCCTGTAACACTTGCATACGTACTAGCTTAGAAGTACTGCTTCTCGCTCCGCGCATAAAGGCTTCCGCGTTCCAATGGAACCCCTTACAACTCCCTCTTTGATACCACCGCTCGCTTTTCCCTCATGTCTTCCGCCTCATTCCTTTCGTTACTCGTCTCGCTCTTTTGCAGTGCTCTCCTCGTGTCCGCCGCGCCCGGTCCAGGCGTTCGTGTCGCGGAATCTTTGCCACCGCCGCCGTCATCCTACGATGTTATGCGCCATCTCCCCGCTCCTGGTGCTGAGCGTAATCTTCCACCGGCAGTCTTACCCCAAGCTGTCTTCTCCGCCCCGCTCCACGCCAGTGCCCCGCGTCGCCAGGCCAAAACACATGCGCTCAGCCATCTCGTCGCGGCGCAATCCGGGGCAAAAGCGACGATCCCACAGGTCTCTCTCACGGGCCCGGCGCTGGATATGGAGTACCTGGCTCAGATCGT